ATGAGCAGGCCCTGGTGCCAGGTGGGCGGTAACAACACAGGCAGAGTGAAGGCAAACTGTTAAGTACAGACCAGATTCTGATACGTGCCGTGAGGGAAACAAGCACTGAGGAAAGGAGAGAGAAGGAGGAACTGCTGTCAGTGTGGTCGGGATGAGCGTGAGGAAGTAGATGACATGGGAGGTGTGCTTGCAAAATGAGGAAGAACCACTTCTTCAGAGAGCTGAGGGCAAAGCCTTTCAGGCAGGTGATGCCTGAAGGGCAGAGTCTGACACGGAAGAGCTTGAAGTCCACTCAGGAAGGACACCTGTGCAGCTGGATGGGGCGAAGCAGGCGGGAGCGAACGCAGGGGGCCTGTGAGCAGCCGGGGTTGTGTGTGATTCGTTTTTGTTTGTTTGTTTGTTTTGTGTGTGTGTGGCAGAGTCTCACTTTGTCATCCTGGATAGAGTGCCTTGGCATCAGCCTAGCTCACAGCACCTTGAGACTCCTGAGCTCAGACGATTCTCTTGCCTCTGCCTTCCACCAGTACAAGTGCCTGCCACAACACCCAGCCGGTTTTTCTGTTTTTAGTAGAGACAGGGTCTCGCTCTGGCTCAGGAGTGTGATTCTTACTCTAAAAGCAGTGGGAGGCCAGTGAAGGATTTTAAACAGAGGAGCAAAATATACCTTCAAGGAGATTTTATGTGGGCCTTTGCTTCCTTAAAGTAAGCATGGTTATTTTTATACATTTTAAGATACAGCAATATAGGATATAATTGTTTGACTTAAACCCTCAGTGTTTTATGTGGCATGGTTTTTGTTGCATTTTTTCATTAAAATATTTTATTTTTAAAATCAGTAGTAAAAGTTTACTTCTGAGACCAGCACCACCGTAGTTATCTCACTTATTGAGGAAAGACACAATGGCAACAGATGCAGAAATTTGTAGAAATAGGGGTCCATTAGAACAGAGTGACCATTTATTTCAGTTTCTGTTCAGTAAAATTTGACTTAAAAAACCCCAACTATTCTGTTAAAATAATTTCCTTCTAGAATCTTGATACTCATAGTCACTAAACACATATTTATGTTTCTCAGCCAGATGTCACTGTCGTAAGGACGTTTTAGATTGCAATACCTCATAAAGTTGATGTATATGTACGCTGATAAAATTTGAGCTTTTAGTTAATGCTTGAATGATTTTAGCAGTCTCTCCCAGTGCTTAATTCCCTTGAACTTGCTTTTTTTTTTTACATCTTGGCCTGTTCCTGAGATGATTATATTTCACACCTGCATTTTACCTATAAATTTGAGAGTTCTTCCTTTGATACTCTAATTAAGGAAATATATTATGTGAGTTTGACCTTTTGATTTCTGTCCTGTCCTTACTGTCTTTTAGGAAGACAATTAGATGCGAAGTTTATGTGCGAAGACCTCACATATTTGTTTCAGCCTAAGGATAGATCAAATTTTTCTCTAGTTTACATATAATTTAGACACGTAAAGAATCATTTTCATGACTTACCATAAAAGAAGTACTTTGCCATCATGGTCCCTTTCTTTCCCCAATCCACCCTCCTTATTCACTATTACTAGATCTTTTCACGGATAGAAATTCCTCTTCTTTTGCAATGGATTTCAGCCTAGAACCTATTAGACTGCTTATTCTGAAAGGGCAAGCTAGACGTCTAGATTTTAGAATTGAATGTATTGGGAGCAATAGATCATGTCGACACTTTCTAAAATCTGTATCTAATTTTGTTTGGGTCCATCACTGGCACATTTTAAAATTCGAATATTGCAAATCTGTGAGAGTCAAAAGAGAAAGAATACAGTTATTACAACTTATGCACAAAAAATGTGAAAGGATATGTGTTTTTTAGTTTGTGTAGAGCAGTGGTTCTCAACCTTCCAAATGCTGTGATGTATTTTCATTATTACAAAGGGGTCGCAACCCACAGGTTGAGAACCGCTGGTGTAGAGAAATCAAATGTGACTTGAATTTTTTATGATCATGAATATGTTAACAAATAATGTTTATAGAATTTCCTTTATCTTTAAAAGAGATCAGAAAGAGTATAATAATTTAACCCAGTTATGATTTGGGGTTTTAGACAAGGAAACACTATGAATAGCATTTATTGACATTATATAGGGAACAAATAAATAATTAGACTCTTTGGTCAGCCTTGTGTTATGGATTTATAACTAATGGAGAATCTCTCTCAATTGGATCAGTATCCTCTTTACTATTATCAGGAAGGCTTATGGGGATCAGGTATATGTGCAGGGGTGGGTAACTTAGATCCTTACTTTGCCTGATACCTATGGGGCCATTCTGGTGATCAGGTAGAACAAATACTTAAACCATTCAGCATCATACAAGTGGGAGGAGTGCACATAATAGATGTCAGTGCAGCTTTCATTGTGGCTGTTTAACGCTGTTTAAGTGTCCTGTGTTTTATAGCTTAACTTATACCTATGGTCTTATTTGATTTAGTACACTAGTGGTAAATCTAAGAAAAGTAATCCTCCTTGCCTAATTGCTTATACTGTTAGTCAGATCATGATCTTTTTTATATCAGGAAGTGGGAGTGATTGGGAGCCATCTAGCTAAGCTCCCCACCACAAAGTGGTGAAGGCTCTTCTGTCTTTGTTTATTGTAATTATGAATTTGGTTTTTAGAATTACTAATTTTTTTGGTTTTGTTGCCCTTTTGAGTTATCTAGTGTTGAAAATTTCATCATCATTTTTCACACATTCATGTATAATAAACTTTATCAGTAATATATTTAATAAAATGAAATAGTCTTTACCTGCAGAGATGGAGTAAGTTGGGGCAATGTGTGTGGTGTGAAAAAATAAATTCTTCATCTCTCCTTTATACCACCCTCCCTGCCAAGATTCTCACACTCTTTCTCTTTATGCTCTGCGTATCTGTATATACACCTGTTACAGACTACCACATAATTTCTTTTTCTCTAAGCATACTGTTTATCTTTCTGTCTGAATACATTCTTTGATTACTATTCCTTCTTTCCATGTTTAAACATTATCTGTTCCTCATTATCTAAGTCAGTCCTCTTTTTTTGTCTACAAGTGTTCTATTTTTTTCTTTATATTCTGCTTCTATTTTTGAACCATAGCTTATTTGTGATACCTAGACTATGTATGTTAACCTTTATTTTTGTTAAAAATCTATGTAAATCTTGATTTGTCAGTTAAATTCTAGTTCCTGTGAAGTCAGGGATTCTCCCCTCCTTTTCATGTATTTTCCAGTTAATCCGGTACCAAGCACATAAAGGAGCTCAATATTTATTACTAGTATACTTGTAGGTAAGAAAAGTGATGGAGTGTTTTTATTGGCTTAGGTGCTCTTGAAATTTAAATATTAGTAGTTTTTCTGGTTTCCCTTGAGATTAAATTTTGACAATGAAAGAGATATTCTTCAATAATGGAGGTCTGTGTTCACACTTTATTATTGGAAGGGAGGTTCCATTAAAGGATGCTCAAATACCTGCAGATTCTTTGAATAGGAGCAAATATTCATGATATGTGACCCTATAGGGTTTTATATATTCTAATTACAACAAACTCTGGAAAGTAATGTATGTGTGAAGATAGAGGGAAAACTAGACATTAAGCTGTTGAAAGATCACAAACTCACAACCCACTGGTTTCTGTTAATATATAAACTACAAATAATAGGGTAATGTCACTAGTTTTCTAACTAGAATTGTATTACTTTGAGTTAAAAAAAGAAACACAATTGGTTTCCACCTGTAGAAGGTTCAGAGGTCAATGTTAGGTATAAACACTAAAGCATAATTTGTTACAAGTATATCACAGTTGAATCTGGTTTCTGTAATACAGTGTCTGTATGACTCTGGGCATGTTACTTAACCCCTCTGAGCCTTAGTTTCTTCACTTATAAAATGGAGGTAGTGAAAAGCTATCTCAAGGCTAGAAAATACACATCTAATGTGCCAAGCATATTACCTGGTCTCTTCATAGACATCTGACACATGTACATTGTCTTTTACTATGTTTCTCTTCTTCTTCCTCATAGTAAATACACACTATTTAATCTAAAATCTTACTTAAATTTTCGCCCTTGTGCTGTATCATAGCACGTTTCGATACTTGTAACAAACTTATTTCTAATTATAATAGTAATCCAGTGGAAAACTATACTGGGAAAAAAGATGTTGTCAATGATGTGACATGAATATTCTTCAATGAGTTTGTGTTATTTTTGTTTCACTTCAAGGCAGTAAGTTCGAAAAAGCGTTGAAAAATATTTAATATTAAACTTAAAAATAAGATACTAGTTTGAGGTGTCATATAATTTTCTGAAATAGTTAAAAGATCTGTAGGTGAGAAAATAAAATTTTGCCACCTTAATTAGAGCAAAAGTATTATAAATAAAATCATTTTAATCAGGTCCTTTGAGGAGAGAGTTTTTTGGTTAAAAAAAACAAACCCTTTTTTTCCAACTCTTCCCATAAATGTTTGCAAGCATAATAGTCCCAGAGTTTCCTGCCTCAGAGAAAGGTATATAGAATGCAGTAGCCTCTTTGTAAATTGCAGATCTTTCATTATTCCAAGTAACAGCTATTATGGTATGTGATTAGCATGGCTGGCCTCACAGGTGGGAGATTAGGCTGAATGGAATCACATGACATGTGATGAAAAGTTACCAACCTCCAGCCTCTCCTCCCACTTTGTAATCCCTAATCTTAGTTTTGCTTTCATTTTCATTTCCCCACTTCTTCTGAAAATGGAGTATAGAATATTTCCTAACAAATTGAGAAGCTGATTTCTTATGTATCAAAGGAGACTTCGGATACTATTTAGCCTAGCACTCCCATACTATAGATGGAAAACCTGAGGCATCGGTTAACTGACTTGCTCAAAGAAAGCAGATTCACTAAAAAAAACAAAGATGCAGGTTTCCTCATTAAACTGACACTTTAACAGTGTCCCAAATTGTGGTGGTTATCTTTGATCTTCTTTGAAACAGGTAGATCGACACTTGAGAAAGCTGGATCAGGAACTGGCTAAATTTAAAATGGAGCTGGAAGCTGATAATGCTGGAATAACAGAAATATTAGAGAGGCGTAAGTAAAATTTACAGTTTTCCATCAATATTGGATAGTACATGTGCACATTACTGAGACGACGCTTGTCCCATAACGATTTTCAGATCCTACCCTCAGTGGATGGTGTCATCTGGGTCAGATACAGAAAGCTTGAACCCCAGCAGTTGAAACTGTTTGGGTCACAGATACTGAAAAAGATAATATAGGATATCATCCACTCATTCTTTATGAAAGTAACATAATCATTCTATTTCTAAATATCCACCTATGTCTAGTGAATGAATGGTAAGAGCAAAGATTTACAGAAATGTAACAATCGAGGAACAAATTAACCGTCTTTCATTAGATGTATTGACTTTGCCCTGCCTATTTGTGCACTTAAACTTTGAGCGAAAGTGTTACTTTTTCCTTCTTAAGACCTGCTTTAAGATTTTTTTCTCAGCTGTGTATACTGAGAAAGATTCTGATTGGTTCCACAACACTTACTTGTTTTCTTAAAGAAGTCTTTCCTAAACTTTCCCTTCTTAGTAAGAAGCCACTTTAATATTTCTTTGCAAGGTTCAGCTTGCTCTCCTGTTATATCTTTCCCCTGTCACTTCCTTGATCTCCTGCTGTAACTTACCTCTGTCACTCAGGAGACTTACCAAAACTGGAAGCATGAGTTTTCCTTAACAAATTTAGCATCTCTTCCAGCCTGTATTCGATAACGTACATAAAAGCAGGTAGTGTGGTGCTAGGCCCAAGGCAGGCATTCACTAGATGTTGTTAATTGGACCAAACTAGTGGTATGGTTAATTTCTACTAGAATTTAGTTAAAGCTTCCAAACAGGTTTTCTTTGATGCATTTCAACAGCAGGATTATAGACCTGGTTTCTATATACAGATGGACGATTTCTTCACAGTGCTAGTTTATGTATCTCTCTATTTATATACTCACCAGAAGTCAGCTAGAGAAGCCAGTCACAAATACATCTTGGCCTCCATAGTTGTGTTTTTGTATTGAAAATTAAATCCATCACTTTAAATGATCATCTGATTTATTTATGATACCTTTTTCTGGAGGAACATTATCTGAGGATAATAAGTATTTGGGGACAAAATAAAATACTCTATAGTTGCTATTTTGGGGGGGAGGGGGCAGATGATGATGATAGTCATGAGTAATGGTAATTCATGCCTATTCAGTACTGCAGGAAGATTAATAAAGCATCCTCTCTAAGGACACAGACACTAAACTAAATTGGACTAAGTTACAAAAACTACTCTACCCTGTGCCCTGCCATAATTTCATCTCAAGGGATCAAAAATAAATCTAGAAAATGTATTTAAAGGTGTTTTAAAGCTTGGTGTTAGAGATTCTATTTCTTACTTTTTGCAAGTAAAATCCCTAACTTCTTTTAGGAAGCTTTTACTATCATTTGTCATTTTCATGGTCAGAGAATTTTCTTTCACATAGTAATATCCCTCTTGCTTAGAACTGTAGAATCTCCTGTTAAAAGGTCTTCAATTCAGTAAAACTAGGTTTAGTCTTATCAGTAAGGTTACAGTGTCCATTCATTCATGTATGTGGCACCCATTGTAGTGAATTTCCTAGACATTAAGCATGCCTTGGACCGTTTTGTACTAAAGGTGAATTTTGAGAAATGGATTGCTTATTGTTTAGAGAAAGGATAACTCAGGGTGGAAGGGGCAGTGGTGACCCTCTATCTACCATGTCTGGCTAAAATTAAACAGGCATATGCATCAGAACTTGCCAGTCCTCTGCTGGGTAAGACAATTCATTGCCTGTACATCATTCATGGGTAAAATTCTATGGTGACATTTAATGGTGTTGTATCTCTGTGCCTCTCTTTTCTTAGGATCTTTGGAATTAGATACTCCTTCACAACCAGTGAACAATCACCATGCTCATTCGCATACTCCAGTGGAAAGTAAGTTTGGTTTAGTGCAGCTGAATTTTGAATACAATTATAAACTCATTATATCCCCTGCATATTCTCTTATTAATTCTACATAACTAATTGAGAAATAAGTTTTTCTTTGCAGTTATTGGCAGTCATTTAGTAAAATTAGTTTTTCTTTTGGGGGAAAAAATATTTGATTTGGAAATAGTCTGTTTCCTGTGGAAATCACAGAGGGAGAATGGATAGTCTTAAAGCAGCGCATGTTCCTACTTCAGACACCTGAGTCTTTGCAATGGTTGCAACTGAGCTAAGCAATCAGTTATTTTATGATAGGCCCTTTGTCTTTTCCATACTTGCTTCTCCAGTGTTTAGCCGAATGTTTGGCATATAATGAAAACGCAAATGGTTGGTAAGTTAGTGAGTAAATGAACTGTTAGCAGTCTGGCTGGTCAGGTCGCTGACCGGATAAGTGCATTTTTTGACAAATCAGTTTGATCAGAAAGGAGGGTTGACTGAAAGCTGTTGTAAATGGTAGATAGTGATTTGAAGACAAATTTCCTCTCATGTTGTGACATTGTTTGAAAACAAAATTCCTTTCATGTTGTATGTGAAACAGTGATGCATCATGGGTTACCTTTACAGTTTTACTGGGAAAGTTTTTAAACGTCAGAGTTTATTCTAATATACATGTGGCACAGAGATTTCTGCTTATCCTTCTGAGAAAACATGTTCAGTATTTTATGCAGAACCCAGGTATAACTATACCAATTTATAACAGAATAGAAGTAGTTCCTACTCGTTCATAGTTCCCTAAAGTTCAAAAACACATGAATTCTTTATTTATCTTTAGAAAGGAAATATAATCCAACTTCTCACCATACCACAACAGACCATATTCCTGAAAAGAAGTTTAAATCTGAAGCTCTTCTGTCTACCCTCACATCAGATGCCTCTAAGGAGAATACGCTAGGTAAGTTTAGTTTCTTAAATATTATGGTTGGCTTTGTTTTGTGTTAGGGGGAAATGAAATCATTCAGGATTAAGGAATCATACAGTTTCTTTACCTAATTCAAGTCTGTATATGGGGAAAGAAGAAAAAGGAAAAATGTGATACGTAATTCAGTTGACTTAATCTACAATAACATGAAAAATTTAATGATTATATATGCTTAGAAAATGTATTTGAAACTCACAAACGTTATATTCTATGCATCTACTTTATTTCTTCTTTACATCTGCACAGGTTGTCGAAATAATAATTCCACGGCCTCTTCTAACAATGCTTACAATGTGAACTCCTCCCAGCCTCTGGCATCCTACAACATTGGCTCACTGTCGTCAGGAACTGGTGCAGGGGCAATTACCATGGCAGCAGCTCAAGCAGTTCAGGCCACAGCTCAGGTAAAAAGTGAAAGGTATAGAGACAAAACGTTAGCGTTTAGTCTGGACCACTGAAACCATAATACAGACGAGTGGTGGGGAGAAACAAGCTTTCTCACATTGTACAGTGTCATTTTTAGATCTTAGTTTTATGATATCTGGCATTTTACTTAAGGAAATAATATGTAGGAATTACCTGATTGATAATAAGATACCTTAAATTCCAGTGATAAAAATAATAGTTTGAACCAAATAAATTAATAATAGATAAATCAAAATAAAACTGTAACTTGTAAAACTTGAAAAAAGAAAAGAAAAAAAAAACTTGAAAAAAGATCAACATATTTACGTATATATTAATGCCATTTCTGAATGTCTGTTTAAGATGAAAGAGGGACGAAGAACATCAAGTTTAAAAGCCAGTTATGAAGCATTTAAGAATAATGACTTTCAGCTGGGAAAAGAGTTTTCGATGCCCAGGGAAACAGCTGGCTATTCATCCTCCTCTTCAGCACTTATGACAACATTAACACAGAATGCCAGTTCATCAGCAGCCGACTCACGGAGTGGTCGAAAGAGCAAGTAAGTTCTGTCTTTATAGTAGCTCCATACCTTTCTCAGCACTCCCAGGAACTGGCATCTCAGCTGGGCCAACATCTATTGATCAAGCTGAATCTTAGAGAGCTAGGAAGCCCTGAAGTTTTCATTTACACTGCCATACTTTGAAAGGGTAAAGTCTTTCAAAAGTGTTAGAGTTGTTTCAGTTTTTCTGAAGTCTTAAATTGAGTTTGTTAATACGTGATTCCTGTTTATATCCTTTTGTTTATTAGGGTAATCCATTTTTTTGGCACTGATTTGCATTTATTGCCTCTTATTTTGTAATGTATTTCAAGGTGATTTAATACCTAAAATGCAAATTATATCCTCGGGATTTTTTTGAAACAAAATTCTTCATTTTGATCAGTAGCAAAGTGTCTTAATTCTTGGCTTTAGGTCCCAAAATTTGATGTTAAGAAGGTATCCCTAGATTTTATTTATGAGACGCTTGGGATGATTAAATGAGCTTTAAATATGAAAACTTAACAGCATTTGACATATTTATCCTGGGTAACTGACTATGCTAGGTGTTTATACATAATGAAAGCTCAAGTGCTAGGCCAAAAGAATTGGTTACCTAATACAAAGGAATTAGTTATCTTCTATGTATGTTTATTTTTAAATGGATTTTCTGTGAATAGATTCCCCAAAAGAATGATCAGTGTGGAATAACCATAGAAGTATCAAACATATTAAAAATTAATCTATCGTAATGACCTAAATTTAATTTAACTGTTTTTTGATAAATTTCCATATTTTAAATTACCACATAGCTAGAAGTAAATTACTTGTAAACTTTAACAGTCTTGGTTCTCTGTCCTATACATGGTAGGTATTCACATGTCAGCTGTTGGTCATAATCATTTTCATGAAGTGCTTTTGTGTATTTGAGATTTTTTTGTCTTTTTGTTTGTTTGTTGTAGAAGTGGAGTCTTGCTGTATTGCTTAGGCTGGTCTTTAACTCCTAGCCTCAAGTGATCCTCCTGCACCAGACTCCTAAAATGCTAGGATTATTGGTATGACCCATTGTACCTGGCCTGTTTTTTAGACTTTGATGAAAATTACTCAGTTTATTTAAAAATATAAGTAATGTCTGTAAGATAGCCGTAACTCATATTAATTCTTAGAAGTACTACCAACAATTTAAGTCAATGGTAAATAAGCACTTGGATTAAAAAATTCTGTTAAAAACTTTTTGGAATATTTTTAAAAGAATTTTCTTTTGAATACCTTTATTCTCCAGAAAACAAACAAAAAACTCAAACAAATATAACCCTCTACAAAAAGAAAAAGGTTGCTCTTTGGTGCTCTAAACAAGGTAACTTCTCCTGGATGGTGAACAATAACACCAATACTATTTTTTCAGAAATAACAACAAGTCTTCAAGCCAGCAGTCATCATCTTCCTCCTCCTCCTCTTCTCTATCATCATGTTCATCATCATCAACTGTTGTACAAGAGATCGCTCAACAAACAACAGTTGTCCCAGAATCTGATTCAAACAGTCAGGTTGATTGGACTTATGACCCAAATGAACCTCGATATTGCATTTGTAATCAGGTAAAAATCTGTTGTGTGTTTGTAAAAGCATAATCTGAATAAACTTGAAAGAAGAGAACTATTTCATTTTTAAGCACATTTTTACTCAGTTACCCTTACATTACTTGTATATATTTTTATTTGTAAAATGTAAGTTATTCATAATCTCAGCCCTCAGATGTAACCTGTAATTAAAGATGTTGATGTATCCCTCCTATGTACTCCACATGCATATTGGGTGACTTAATAAAATACTGCAGACTTAAACAACAGAAATTTATTTTCTCACAGTTTTGGAGGCTGGGACATCCAAGATCGAGTCGCCCGCTGACTTGGTTCCTGGCAAGAGCTAGCTTGCAGCCTGCTGCTCGTTGACAGCAGAGAGAGAGACTGCGTGAACCGTAGTATCTCCTATTATAAGGGGCCCAGCCCCAGGATTAGGGGCCCACGCTATGACCTCATGTAACCTGTACCACCACTGCACAGGCCCTGTCTCTAAATCCAGTCACATTGAGATTCAGGGCTTCAACATAAGAATCACTGGGGGGTGGGACAGAAGAATTCATTCCAAAACACATAGTGTGTGCAGATATACACATACTCACGTAGGAAGTATGGAATATATATTTTTTGTAACTGGCTTTTCTTACTAATTCAGGTATACAAAACATGGTTTTTCTCTAAGGTCATGTTTTTAATCTTCTTACAGTTGTGTTTTGTACTGCATACTATAATTTGTTTAACCAATATCTAGCTGTAAATTATTTTAAGGATTCAATTTTTTTTGAAATTACAAATGATACTATGAAGGCATTTTTAATGTAATCTATTGAATCTATCTAATTTCAAGGGTGTGATCTTTTAGAAATAACGTTGCTTTATAAATATTTGCGACAGACTACCAAAATATCTTCTAGAAATTTATTACCAAGATTCTATAAACCTGCTTTTTTCTTTCTTTTTTTGGCTGAGGCTGGGTTTGAACCCACCACCTCTGGCATATGGGGCTGGTGCCCTACTCCTTTGAGCCACAGGCACCACCCAAACCTGCCTTTTTCTAAATCCTATTAGCATTGTATATTATTTTCTCTTAAAAACCATGTACCAATTTGGTAATTTTGTATCACATGATTTTTTAATTTACATTAGTATTAAGATTAGATCTTTTCTTGAACATTTAAAAAAAATTGGCTGATTTTTCTATTTTTTGAATGCATCTTATAAATATTATAATTGGTTTAGTTTTCTCATTCATTCTAAAATTTTAATTTTGGGTACCAATAATAATCTTTTTTTTTTTGGCCGGGGCTGGGTTTGAACCCGCCACCTCTGGCATATGGGGCCGGTGCCCTTCTCCTTTGAGCCACAGGCGCCGCCCCCAATAATAATCCTTTTCCTTATGAAGTCAGCCATGTGTTAACATGCTTACAAAGGCTTCCTTTGCCATTTTCTGGTAGATTTGGCCTGTATCTTCCATGGGTTTTTATATAGCTTCGTCTATTTCTTGATATGCTTCAGTTTCTTTGCATTTAAATCTTAATCTACCTGCAGTTTATTGTGTTTCATGGTGTGAGGTGTCCATCAAATTCTTTTTAATTTCAATTTGTTAACTGTTCAACTATCATCTGATAAACATTTTTTAATATACATGATTAGGAAAAGCATATTTCATAATTATCCCGGCAATATTTATATATTTATTTATATATTTATATATTTATATCTATATTTATATATAGATTTTATTTATATATTTATATATTTTTGTAGGTTTCCTACAAAAAAATAAAATCATATTGACTAGATTTTTCTCCCTTTGATTCTAAAAAACTAGCAGGTGTTGGGTTACATCTATAGATATTTGAGGGAAAAATTGAGAACCTTCCTCCCCCAAATTTGACATCTGCAGAAGCTGTTTCTGTGCATAGGACAATGTAAAGATATTTGCACTCCTGCAGAAAATCAGAAAGGGTGGTAACCTTGTCTGAAAAATTATTCAGTCTTCTGAGAATGTAAATGAATTGGAGACTTTGGAGGGCTGCTCTAAAGTGCTGGTAATGGACAGCAAAAAATTAAAGAAGAGAGAGAGAAAGGTCATGTAGTAGATGAGTTTAGAAGTTTTAAGGAAATAGGTTTTGTGACTGAAGAAGAAGTAAAAACTTTAAGTAGGTAAATAACCAAGAAAGAAAGTTTAAAACTTTACAGTAAGAACCATCCCCAAAGATGAGTTCCCATCCACATGGTTTACAGCAAGATCTTTCAGACTTGCAAAGAGCAACTTCTCCTCTGCCCTGTTCCCCAAAAAAAAGTCTTTTAGGAAAACACTTTAGGCCTTGATTCTCACTTTAATTGTATTTTCATCAGTTTTCTAACAGTATCATGAACAGTTTGGATTTAGAGGGTTGTTACACGGCCATAATAAAAATATTTCATTTTCTTTTAACTAGGTATCTTATGGTGAGATGGTGGGATGTGATAACCAAGATGTGAGTATTAAATTTTTTTTATTTAGAAATGAAAAAAATCACAGTTTATTGTTACTTTAATTTCTTTTTACTTGTATGTATTTAATTATTGTATTTTTTCTTAGACTGAGAGTCTAAGAAAATAGGCTTGTAGTTATGGTAATGCTAGCATATATATCTTTCCAAAATAGGGTAACATCCTTGACTGTGTTTCTTACTTTAATTTTTTAAACTCATTTCATGGTTTTATGTGCAGATTATATTTCTCAAAAGTGTTATGTTGTATGAAATTATACACATCCTTTTTCCTCACTGCTAAAGAATATTGTGCTTACTAGAATCCAGTTCATATGTTACATTTAGTAAATGGAGTTATAAATCAGTTCATTCTTTTGTGAAATATGATGTTAAGGTGAAGGGTGGAATAATTGGCCATCTAGTGTGAGATTACTGTACTCCTATTAGTATAATATTTCCTACTGTACTCTGTTGGTGTCTGCTGAGAAGCCTCACTTCTGACATTAAAAAAAAAAAAAAAAGGACATTTGAAAGGAAGGCTTTTTTTTCTCTTTAGGAAACTTTAATTTTGGTTAGAGATTAAATACTGACAATATTTTTGTCTAATAATTTTGACTCCTTCCTGAATTTTATACAACTCAGCCCCCTTTTGTCCCTCTTACTCCAGAGGGGTTAAAAAAAGTCTGAATTTTGTAAAAGTACTAATAGCAATGTCAGAATCCTAAGATTAGCAAGAGTTTTAATTTGGTAAAACAATCTAAAGATGGAGGGAGGTTGGCTTGGTACATTAAAACTTGTACTTTCCCCAACCCTGGTAGGGTCCCAGCAAGATGTTGACGTAGATGGGGGGCAGACCCTCCTCCTGCTTCCCTGTCTAGGCTCACCTTAGGGCTGTTTGCGATTATTGCAAGGTACTATTGCCCAGTTATTTTAAACTTTGCTGTAAACTGTCTTCTGAGGCAGTTACTCAAAATGATTGAGATGTCTATGAATCCCAGCATCACACTCTCTCTGATTCCTCTCATCCCCAGTTGTTCTTCTGAGTGCTAAGACTTTGTGTGGAAGGGTACCACTACTTAGTATATTTTAGAGAAGAATACTTTTTCTCTACATCTCTAGGAATAGTGCACCCAGGTGGGAAACCCAGGCCAGTCCTTTGTGTCTTTAATTATAGTTAGCTTATTGTACTTTATGAGGGAGCAAATAAGGCTGAACATTAAATAAAATGTTTAAAATACGTTTACTTTATACATACAAGATTCGTCTCACTTCTTTTTGTTTTTGTGAGTTGGTATTACCTTACTCTCTAAGTAAATGAAATTAGTGAATTTTGGTTCATTATTTAGTATTATAGAATAGATTATGTAAACCTGAGACTTCTTAAAGATGCATAATATTTCTGTGCCCCTATTTTCTCATTGGATGATGAGGTTCATTAAATGAACCTTATCATTTAAACTCTACATTCTATTATATCTGAAAATTCTGATTTCACAAATTTAACTATTATTAAGTTAGATGGAATATTCTTTGGGACATATTTTAATATACTCTTCTTTAGAAGGACTAGAAACTTTTTCTTTGTACTTTTTGAAAAAATGTATTATTTCAAATTATGGGTAAATAATAGTTGTACAACTTTATAGGGTACAGTGATGTCTTTGATACACACATACAACATGGGTTAATTAAATCAGGGTGATTGGGTATCCATCACCTCAAGCATTCTTTGCCCTTCTGCTTCCTAGTGCCCGATAGAATGGTTCCATTATGGCTGTGTTGGACTGACGGAAGCACCCAAAGGCAAATGGTACTGTCCACAGTGCACGGCCGCAATGAAGAGGAGAGGCAGCAGGCACAAATAAAGGCAGCTCTTTCATCTGAGAAAGAAAAATATCTCAGCTAAACATTTTATATAGGACTTTAGAAAGAAGAGAAGAAAAAGAAGAAACAACACATTTCCAGGCAACCACTTAAAGGATTCACATAGACAATCCTATAAGATCTTGAACTTGAATTTTATGGGTTGTATTTTAATAATGTAAGTAAATTATTTATGCACTCCTGGTGTGCTATGAATATTATTCCAGTTAGCCTTGGATTATTTCAGTGGCCAACATATGCAGACATTTGTACTCCTCAACCATTTTCTTGAAGTAATGGGCATTCTGTAATTTAGACTTCAAAGAATTCCAGCGATGAAGATTTTAAGGAAAGTATTTTATATTCAACAGGTATATTCTGCTGCATGTACTGTACTCCAGAGCTGTTATGTAATACTGTATATAAATGGTTGCAAAAAAAAAAAGTCAGTGCTTCTAAAAAGAATTTAAGATAATGGTTTTTAAAATGCCTTTATAATAAGCTTTGTTTCTTTGTGAAACTAATTCAGCAGGCTGAAGGAAATGGTTCATGTGATAAAGTGGGCTGGTGTCCTCTAGAGTACCTGGGTACATAAACAGAAACTCCTGTAGGTAAAAACTAATTTGTGCCATTAGTCTTTATATGTTTCTGCATCCAGATAGAGTGCAGTTCATGGGGGTGGGGGTGGGGGGCCCAGGGGGAAAGGGTGTTAAAGTGATACATTTTTATACCAAATGTGTTTATTTTTTTGTGCAAGTAATCCTTAAAATTGGAATTGTATTAGGTGTTAAAATAAAGTTTTTAAAAAATTACTTGTATTTATACTTTACATACTTAATAATGAGAATTTCTTGATTCTAATTAACTTCCAGTTTTCATAACCTAAAGAAGCCCAGGACACAGAATGCTATGTAATCTGTGGTTTCTTTAGTAATATTTGGAATTTGTGATATGAAAAGAGAGAAAGACATTTTAATGTAAATTTGAAATTCCATGGTATTTTTCTAGAACATCTTTCTGGCTTTTCCTTCAGTCTAAGGTATGTGAAAGAAGTCTAATTACAGGAAATAAAATGAAAATAATGCTTATAGGTGTTTCGACTGGAGGCAGTGTGGCCAACTTGCATAGAGAGGGCTCCCCCCGGATTAGAGCTCAAAATTCAGCTCTGTGTTGGATTCTGCCAGTTAATTCAAATTTTGTGTCACTTTGGGCCTTACTAAGCCAGGTTGATGCTAGCTACAGGATGTCTTTAAAGCACTCCTGAGGTTTTATTCTATAGGTGCTATTTAAATTATAAATTTTGCATAGTGAAGATTTTATTTAATGTATAGTAGCGAGTCTGGTCAATAGAAAAATCCTTAAAACTTACTATATCATGTTTTTTTTATACGGAAGTTTATTGAGTCCATCAGATTTCTGCTTTAATTAAAACCACTTATGAGCCTCTTAGAACTTTTTCAGAAAACAGTGTAAAATCTATGCAATGCTACCCAGAGGGTAGGGAGTAGCTAGGGGATTTCAGAGTTCTCTCTCAGCTTTGAGACTCCATGATTCTGGGTGGCTGCAGTCTGAGTTTATAACTGTGGCAGCTACCAAAATAAGGTAGGGTCATTTGTGGGCACTCTTGATATGAAATCATGAGTATCATGACTTCATGATACTCAGTATTTTCTTGGAGACTTTATAAACCTTTAAGAAGTAATATATAACATAGTATTCAATTAGGTATTAGTATGTTACCTGAAGATGCTCTAATATATCGTTTACAGATTCTGATTATGTATTATGACTTTTCCAAGCTCATTCATTTTATAAGAATTGGTCAAAGGAAAAAGCCTTACATGCAGCCTTATTTTAAGAGAATTTCCCATGTCTAAGTCAGGAACATCCCTATTTTCCAGCTGCTATAGCTTCATTGTGTGAATTCCTCTTCCTACCAAATCCCTCAGAAAACACTTTGACAATTTTAAATTCAAACACTGAATATTTTATGAAGCATGTATAAAGAAGTAAACCAAGATTCTGTGTAAGTATTTAGTGTAACAAGTAGAACCTGTTATAACTGATTATACATAATGGGACAAACAGCAAACTACCTCATCAGAAAAAAAAAAGTGGCCAACTATTAATATCCTTTGTGACAGTTACACCAAGGGGTATAATTATTTTTGGTATTGTAGAATACACATTTAAAATATTTGTTGTACAAAACTCGTGTAACAGTTGGTGGCACAAAAAATCCTAATGTGGGTTCACAGTTTAAAGGTGGTGAAAATTGAGGCCTTACTGCTATGGCGTGTATATTAAAATGTTCATGGTGACACATTTGAAGCAATAAATGGCTTAATTAAATGCCAAAATGAAGCTGAGTGTTTGATAAGCATATAGTCATTCTTTTCAAGGGCAGTTCATTTTTTTTTTTTTTTGGCTCTTTTCTCCTTTAAAGCAAATTCCAAATATGTTAGATTTTTGACCATATTAGGTTTGTGCAATGTTAGTGCCCTTTGTCCTTAGACCTTAGAAATGGTCTTCTTGATGTAATTAATTATTTTACTCTTCAGTAAATGTCAAATTTGAATTATAAGGAGTGAGATACTCTCTGAATATGTAGACATTGCAGTGTTTCCCCTCAACTCCCAACATACAAAAAAGGAAATCAGTAGATGGGGCTAAAGAGAAAAAAAAAAAAAAAAACCTCAAAAATATTTTTGTAGCTTTGTAAATATTAAGCATTGAAATGCTGAGAATACAGATGATGGAATTGAGAGTATGTGTGTGTGGAGCAGTGGGTGGGGATGCACATGTAAATGAATAATTATGGTATTTGTGATATTTTAATAATGTTGTAATGAATGTACAGGTCACCATGGGGACCCTGAAGGGAGATGGATTACTGCAGCAGTCCAGCAGACTTCACAAGGGAGATGTCTGCCTTAGGGACTTGAACTGAGTCCTAAAGGCAAATGAAATAGGGAAGATGTTCAAGGCAGAAGAGGCTGTTCAAGCCACATGCTGCTAGGAACTTTGTTGTTGTTGTTGTTAGACAGAGTGCCACTCTTGTCGCCCTTGGTAGAGTGCTGTGGCGTTGTAGCTCACAGACACCTCAAACTCTTAGACCCAAGTGATTTCCTTGCCTCAGCCTCCCAAGTCACTGGGACTACAGGCACCTGCCACAATGCCCAGCTGTTTTTAGAGATAGGGTCTTGCTGTTGCTCAGGCTGCTCTCGAACTTGTGAGCTCCGGCAATCCACTGGGATTACAGGCGTGAGGCCCTGCACCCGTTGGCAATGCTTCTAGGAATTTAAAGTGGTCTGCAATGAATGGACATGAAGTAGGTAGCTGTAGAGTCAGGGAAAGAAGCCAAAAGATGAGCAAGAGTCTGTTCATCAAGAGCAGGAATTGTCTGATAGGAGTTGGGGCTAACACTTACATGTTGTTGGTTAACTATAGTTGTATTGTTATTTTAACAGTTCAGTGAAACAGCACTTATTAAGATGGCAAAGTAGGAATGACTTAGAGTTAGTGGGTACCTTGGAAGTTGCTCATTTCCCCTCAATTTTTGAAATGACTAGAATTAGAATTGCTGGCTAATCAAGATTTTTAGATTTCCTTATTTAGATGATAAAGTCTAAATTACTGAAATTATCATTTCTGACCCAGAGTCTTAGCAGTAATGATTTGACTCCCTACAGAGAACTAACTTAAAGTTCAAAGTAACTAAAAAATGATCTACTTTTATATTTTGTTTTTAATGGAAATTTGATGCAAGGAAGAAATATAACTCCGTCTGCCTGTTTCTATTTTAAGTAATAAGTCATGGATACCTTCCTCATACTAACACATTGGTAGGAGCGTAGGCATTATTAAAATGGTTATTTGAAAGGAATTTAGTAATGGTTTAATACATTCTTTAGAGCCATATAGCTAATCCAGTATCACCTTCTACTTTCTTCACTGCTAACAAAGGAAACTATTGAAGAGGACGTTACACACATTCATTTTTCTGCTGCTTATTAAAAATTGAAAAAGATTTGATGGAACTTAGTAGCTAGTATGGGAGGGAAGGGGGCAAATGTGAATGCTTGCGTCTGTATTGCTTTGTCTTCTCCAGCTCATGCCTACAATACTGAGTAAGAATAGCTCTATTTAGGATGCTGTAGAGTTGCTGTCTTTGAGGATGAAATAATTTAAAACACCCACAAGCTGAATATCAGTGGTAGGGGGAAAATAACAAGTGGTCATATTTTAATTCCTTTGCATCGTTAAATGTACTCCAGTAGAGGGACCCTCTGTACCAATACTATTAAACAAGAACAATGGTGATAGGTCCCAAGTTACTTTAAAAAGCTACCTTGGTCAAATATAATACAAAGGGCCAGCCAGAAAATATTTCTAAACAACCCTGAGCATAATTATGAAGCCATTCGTTAGAGTGATTTTACTATTCTATGTAACTAGTCAGTAGGTTTTAGTATGAACTTCCCAGTTTATCCCATTATAAGTTATCAAAATTTATGTCCATATCCTTGAAGCATTAGTTTATTTACTTTTGATACGATATGTTATTTACTTGAATAGTTTGAGGTTGTAAAGATAATTTTTTCATGGATGTCCCAAATGTGCCAAAAGGCTTTTTCACTTTATCAATGGTGATCATTGATAAATGTTTAGAGGAGTCCAGTGATCTGTTGAAAACGCTAAAATTAAGTTTATATATTGTTAGAAATCATATGGTTTAGATTAGATACAGAGGTAACCTTCTGACTTTATGTGGTAGCCATGTGATCAAAAAAACATTTTCAGTGAAAGAATGTTTCCTTCTTACCCACCCAGAGCAGCTAGATGAATGCCGGCATTGACTGGGGTGGAGACAAATCCTACCCCTGCCGTCCCTGTCACATGCATCAACTTTTAGGTGGCCAGTGATGCTGTACAAGTTTCAAAATACCTTTTACTTTTTGAAAATGAGTGCATGAATTGTGGTTACATTTAAGAAGCAAGGAAGCAAGAAATAAAAGGGAAAACAAGATAAATTATGTAGCTATCTTGAGGCATTTAAAAATATATAAATGGTTTCCAAAGAATTTTATATTGCAGATCTACAGAGAAGACATAAAATTTCTAATTGAAAGCATAGTTTGATAATGTGATATAACCAGTGAAAGCTAATTTGTTCATTTTAAAAATACTATTTGAAAAAAATTTAAAAATACAGGTTCCATGCCAAAGTTTCAGGTTGTATCCTAAAGAAAGTAAAAAGAAAAAACTCTAATTCATTGAATTAAACATTTAACCATTCTACCATTGTGCTCACTGAAAGTTTCCCTCCCTGTCTGTCCATCTTTTAGAATGTATGTGTATAGAGATACTTACATATACAGAGGGTGCCAAAGATATATATGCACAAGAAGGAAAAAAACTGAAAAATGTAATGCTCAATATATACCAGTAACAAAAGATGAATGCAAGTTACCTTTGAACACCTCTTGGATTGCAGAAGTCAAACAAAATTTGAGTATTACATTTTTAATACAGTTTTTTCCTTTCTTAAAATGTGTATACATTTTTTTGGTGCCCTGTGTATATAGTCTTTTAGAGGATGCAAATTTCAAAGACAAATTTGAGAGGTGTATAGGAAATTATATGCTAAAGTTGCACTTGTTTTAATCACATTCAGGAAGTGATTAAAATTCCAAGGAAGCTAATCATATCATGGCCACAAGCTGCTGAGGTACTCACTATTCTAACTTAAGTAACAGACAAATCTTAGGCAGTCATAGGTAAAAATGGTGCAGCAACTCTTGGTTGAATTTGACTTTCCCAGCCTTAGCACTTTTGACATTTTGTGTTGGATGATTCTTTGCTGTGGGCTGTTTATTGAGGGTAAGTTTGGCAGCATCCCTGGCCTCTGCAAACTGGAAGTCAGTAGCATCTCCACCACCCCTCCCCACTCCCTACCAGTTGAGAAAACCAAAAATGTCTCCAGACATTGACAAATGTCATCTGGGGGGACAAAACTGCCTCTACTGGATTAAATGTTACCAGGATGTAAAATCTTGTGGGAAAAAACAATGGGAAGTATTTGAATCTATCATGTGTAGACTTCTATAAATACAAATATTTAAAGCAATCACTTGCCAACAAGGTTGCTACATGCCACAGGGCATGGAGATGAGTACATGTTTCCATCATACAGCAGTTTATATGGTACAGAGATGTAAGTTCACTCATAGATAAAATACAGAACAACTGTGAGGGCAATAATTTTGGTAGTGTTGCAAACAAATGCAAAATGCATATTAGGACAGTAGGCTATGAAAAATAAGTAAAGCGACCAGTTGAAAACTGGAGAGCTCAACGCCAAGAGCGTGCATGTCCCATTTCAAAAAGGCAGCACTAATGTGTGGCGTTTGGGAGCCGCAGATGACTTTTACGCCAGGAATCACAGGTCTAGTGGACAATCTTAGATTGAAAGTATTAGGTTTAGATTATTTCGTTTATCTGGACTGTTCATCTAGAAACTTAAAGAGATTGTTGTGTTGGATGAATCTGTTTGAACAGAAGATAAAAGGA